ACATCATTTTTTGGTGTTAGTTCTAGGAGGTGTTGTAGGTCTTCATAGAACCGGTCCACTTCAGCCTCTTCTGCATCAGTGGTTGGGGCATACACTTGAATTACTGTGATGTTGAATGGTTTGCCTTGGAATCGGACAGAAATCATTCTGTCATTTTTGAGATTGTATCCCAGTACTGCCTTTTGCACTCTCTTGTTGACTATAAAGGCCACACCATTTTTTCTACGAGATTCCTGGCCACAGTAGTAGATATAATGGTCTTCTGAGTTAAATTCGCCCATTCCTGTCCACTTTAGTTCACTGATTCCTAGGATATCGATGTTCAGTCTTGCCATCTCATTTTTGACCACGTCAAGCTTACCTTGATTCATAGATCTTACATTCCAGGTTCCTATGTAGTATTGTTCTTTGCAGCATTGGACTTTCCTTTCACCATCAGACACATCCACAACTGAGGGTCCTTTCGGCTTTGGCCCAGCCGCTTCACTCTTTCTGGGGTTACTTGTACTTGCCCTCTGCTCTTCCTCAGTAGCATATTGGACACCTTCCGACCTGAGGGGCTCATCTTCCGGCGTCATATCTTTTAGCCTTTTGATACTGTCCATGGGGTTTTCTTGGCAAAAATACTGGAGTGGGTTGCCATTTCCTTCCAGGAAACCAGGATACAACTTAGGTAAATGAGCAATGGGGAAAAAATGAAAAACATTGACCTGTTGAGTCCAGTGGCACCTTTAAAACCAACACAGTTTTGGTTGCGGTTTTGTTGGGCTTAAAGGTGCCACTGGACTCAAACTCTGCTCCGCTGCTTCAGACCCACATGGCTACCCCACCTGAATCTATTGTCCTGTTAAGAGTCACTGTGTGATATCAAGGGGCTTGCCTTGCAATGACTCGCTTCCTTTCTCCATGGTCGGGGACAAAGAGTGGCAATAGGGGAGCAGCAGTCCAGGAGGCACCCACTGGAATGTGCTTTCCTCGATGCTGTTTAACATCTATATGCGCCCCCTTGCCCAGATTGCCCGGAGGCATGGGCTGGGATGTCACCAGTACGCTGATGACACCCAGCGTTATCTGATGTTGGGTAGTCGGTCCAGCTCCAGACCGGAAGATCTGGACCAGGCACTACAAGTTCTGGCTGGTTGGCTTATGTTGAGTCGGCTGAAATTGAATCTGATGGAGGTCCTGTGCCTGAGTCGGGGCAGTGCGGGGGTAGGGATCCCACTCCCAACCTTTGATGGGGCGCCACTGGTGCCAGCATCGACGGTGAGGAGTCTGGGAGTGCTCCTGGATGCCTCCTTATCAATGGAGGCCCAGGTAGCAGCCACTGCCAGGTCAGCTTTTTACCACCTTTGGCTGATCGAGCAGTTGGTTCCCTTCCTCAACCGCAGCGACCTGGCAACGGTGATCTACATGATGGTCACCTCAAGACTAGACTACTGCAACACTTTCTACATGGGGCTGCCCTTGTCGCAAATTCGGAAGCTGCAGCTAGTGCAGAATGGTGCGGCCAGGCTTCTGATAGGTCTCCCCAGGTGGGAGCACATCCAGCCCGTGCTAAAGTCACTGCACTGGCTGCCAATAGCATACTGAATTCGCTTCAAGGTGCTGGTACTTACCTTTAAAGCCCTTTATGGCCAGGGTCCAACATACCTGAGGGACCACCTTTCCCCATACCTACCCCAGAGAGCACTACGGTCGGGGTCACAAAATCGATTGACCCTCTCGGGCCCTAAAGATGCCAGGTTTGCAATTACCAGGGCCAGGGCCTTCTCAGTAGCGGCTCCATACCGGTAGAATGAGCTCCTAGAAGAGATTAATTACAGCCCTGGTCCTTGGCTCTTGTCAACTAGCCTGTGCCGCCTGTGTGTTAGGAAGATCAGGAGTGGAACGATGGTGGGATCTTGTGTACACTCTTAAGTACGCCATCTTATAACAATTAACTTATTATGCAGCACTTTATAAATTTATGACTGTTTCAACCGAACTGTTTTAGGTGATTTTATGTGATTTTAATTGTTTTGTATTAACCAGAAGAGGAGAAGAAGAAGAGATTGGATTTATACCCCGCCCGTCACTCGGAGTCTCAGAGTGGCTTACAAACTCCTTTCCCTTCCCCTCCCCACAACAGACACCCTTAGGGTTGCCAAGTCTGGCAAACTTACCGGCGGGGGAGGCCCCAATGAGGTAGGGAGTAGGCTCCGTATGCGCGCACGCCCCGCCGCCACATCACCGGAAGTGACATGCGACGTTGCTGACATTGGGGGCGTGGCTGAGCTCATCGGGGGAAAACCATATGACGCAGCTTTGGGGAGCGGAGTTCCACCCGGGGCCCGATTCCGCCGCGGCAGAAATCAAGCCTCCAAAGCGGGGGTTTCCCCGCCCCCATTTGGCAACCCTAGACACCCTGTGAGGTAGGTGGGGCTGAGAGAACTCTGACAGAAGCTGCTCTTTTTCAAAAACAGCTCTGACAGAACTATGGTGTGCCCAAGGTCATCCAGCAGCTGTGAGTGGAGGAGTAGGGAATCAAACCCGGTTCTCCCAGATTAGAGTCTGCGCACTTAACCACTACACCAAACTGACTCCACCAGAACGGAACTCATTCTTCACATGGCTCTTCTTACCATCTTGCCCCAACATATTTGTAAAAATTCAGCTTTGCTGACTGCATGTCCCTAGAGTAACAGGGTACTACACTAAGTTCCAGCTAGAGCTGCCAAACTTTGACCAAATTCTGGTAGCTGTACCTTTAATTAACCAACTATATTTCTACACCTCTTCTCCTTGCTGCTCAAAAGAGCTTGCAATAAAATCGAACTGTTTAAAAACCAACCAGAAAGGGACATATTAAAACAATAGCCAAAGCATCTCCAAGCAAAACAATTAAAAGCAAGTGGTTTTTATGGTCAATTCACAGCTAACTGCAGCAGATCTCCCTGCCCTAATGGACATCACCTGCTGATTTCTACAGATCAAGTTGGTGCTAAAAGAACAGGCAGAACAGGTCAGTCAACAACCCAGGGCTGTAGCCCGTGGGGGGGGGGCAGCAGGCAGCGCCCCCTATTACATCAGGGACACCCCGTATTGAAATGCCCCCCACCAGGGCCATAGCCAACAGAGGGGCGCCGCAGGGCCCCCACGAAGGAGAAAAGTGGCGTGCCCCCATGTCAGGCAGCCAACCTTTTGTGGTGGGCACAGTGGTGGGGAGAGGGGGGGGGATGAGCTCCTTACCCCCGGCCCACCAGCAGGCAGTAGCTGCTCTCAGAAAGGAGGGGAAGCCGAGTGGAGGTGCTTCATTGTGGAGGTCGAGCTCCACACTGGCAGCCCATTGCAGCCGGGCGGTCGGCTGACGCCAGGCGAGAAGCGCCAGGCTGTCGGGCTGGAGAATCCCCTCCAAGGCAAGGCGAGCAGGGCAGGAGTCAGTGAGCCGCTGCAGTCTTCACTCTCTCTCCGTTAATTAAATTAGCAGCCCCCACATCCGACACCTCGTGCCTCTCCCGGAAAAGTTCCTAGCTACAAGGCCTGCAACAACCGTAATTCCAGGATATAAATGATCATGTTCCTCTGCCTTCACTCTGACGGTGGAGCTCTTTGGGGCTAGGAAGTGGGATTAGTCCTCTGTCAGGGCTCCTGCGTCTTTAATAACTGCATAGCAAGGGAAATTCAGCAGTTAAGGGTTTTCACAGCACTGAATTTGAATGCCAGGAATAGCTTCAGCTGCTAAATTTTTGTTTGTATCGCAGCTGTTAACACTGTCGGAGTCAGCCACCCAAAACTTTGGCAATTCTTCCAACTCTTTCTTCTAGAATCCCAGGCCTCTGGAAGTTTGGAAGAAGACTCTGCAGAACTCAAGGTCTGGCCCTCACACTGCCTAAAAGCCATTACATCCTGGGGAAATGAAACAATCAATAAACAAAGGAATTTAGCATAGGAACTGGAAGAGGGCGGATGGTGTTGATATTTTGCCTCCTGGCTCCATCAAAACACGCTGACATGTCTCCTTTGAAAACTGTATGTACGTGGGTATAAGGCAGACTGAACACACTCAGAGATCTGCCTTTTCAAAGTGTAGGATTCTGTACATTTACCAACTGTTCATAAGGAATTTCAGCACGTCAAGTTTTTGGTCATGACCCAGGACCACTGTGACAGTTCTGAAAAGCTACACCAGCCATAGCTCTCATCTATGCAAATATGAAAGTTATGAGACGGCTACTGTCGAAAATCCATGATTCTTTACAGTAAGGCAGGGGTCCCCAACCTTTTTAAGCCTGTGGCCAACACTGGAAGTCTAACACAGCATGGTGGGTGCTGCCACAGGAGACAGAGCCAGGCAAAAAATGGCTACTGTTGTAGCCCAGAGGCGCTGCCTTACTCTCGGGTAGCTCCAACAACAGGGAACCCCATTTCTAACCTGAACCGGAGACCTGCAAAGTCAGGCCAAGGGAGGCACTCTTGGCCTGAACCACAGAGCTAGCCAAAAGCTCAGTAAAAGGGATTCTGTTTCAGGTTGCACAAGGCAGCCCTCGAAGCAATCTCCAGTCTTTCCCCCCTCCACCCAGCAAAGCGAGCTCCACCAGGTACCATGTCTACATTTCTAAAGCTATTCAGTAGCCACCTGGCAAATAGCTCGTCTCCAAACCTTCACGCAGCCCTTTTGTGTGATACCTATGTCTATGTGGAAATCCTTTGTTTCCCCACCTGTCCTTCCTGCCCCCTCCCACAGGATACCAAGATAAACCAATCAGACATTAAAATTAGCAACGATCCTTCCTGTCACAAATCAGGGACCCATTTCCCACATATTGTCTAAGCCTGGGACCTATTCAACCTGCCTTGGCAGGACCATCAGTGGTCATCAATGAAGTCCCAGAGGGGCAGAGTCTGGATTCTGAGATTAATGCCCGTTGAGGGCTCTACTGGAGCTGGCTGAATGGGTTTGATGACCACTGGAGAAGAACACCAAGATTTACAAATGTTCAGAAACGAATGTTCATACTCACAAGCAAAGTACTGCCAAGGCTCATAGGTAAGTCCAAAATCGGTTGACCGCTCAAGCACCCACAGATCTGGACGAGGGGAATTCGCAAACTTGATCAGAACGTAAGCCACGTGGAACAGCTGTTAAGAGAGAAACTTGTTTAGGTCAGAGAGAAAAGCAATGCACACCCTCTGAAGCAAAATTTTCTCCTCAAAAAGTAAACTACTGCTGCACTTTGAATAGATGGGCACACTCTTGTGGTGGAAAAGCTTTATTTCAATGCTAATCAGGAGTCAAAACGAACCTCTCAGTACTGGGAAGGTTTTAAGAAAGTCCTAAGATGATGAAGAAGGAGGAGGAGGAGGATTAATTACCCTGCCCTTCACTCGGAGTCTCAGAGAGACTTACAAACCCCTTTCCCTTCCCAACCCCACAACAGATACCTCGTGAGGTAGGTGGGGCTGAGAGAGCTCTTTCAAGAACTGCCTTTTCAAGGACAGCTCTTGTCAGAACTATGGCTTGCCCAAGGTCATCCAGCAGCTGCAAGTGGAGGAGTGGGGAATCAAACCTGGTTCTCCCAGATTAGAGTCCGCACACTTAACGACTACACCAAACTGGCTTTGAACTATGCTGATCTTCCATATTGGATATAGACTGGCATATCCTATGTATACCGGAACAGTTGCCTTTCCACAGCAAGCACACAGGTGTGGCAAGGAAAATGTGCTTTGTTACCAGGCAATGTGTTATACAACTGGGAAAACAAGAAGCTGCCATATCTATTCAGCACGTGCCCCCTTCCCCACTAGGAAAGCTACGCTTGTTTTTCTCAAAGGAATAGAGGGCCATCCTCAAAATACTGGCCTGCACTCATAGCAAGGTCTCACTGACTACCAAAAGAATAAAGGAGGAGGAAGGGTTTTTTAGTCTGCATAACCATTCTGAAAGAACTCCATGAACAGACAAGCATCCTAGATACAAGGCTGTAGGAGGAAGAAGACAGGGAAATATTCTGAACTAGGAAGAAAAATATTCACATAAGAAACAATAAGCAACTAAATCAGCTACAAGTCTGAAAATGGCAGCATAACGTCAACAGTTTATCTAAATCTGAGGAGTTTGACTGTTTATAGAGTAGTCGCTGAATGGAAGTGGCAATTCATATTTTCCTTGCCAGTTTGGTGTGTAGTGATTAGGAGCGCAGACTCTAATCTGGGAGAACCGGGTTTGATTCTCCACTCCTCCACATGCAGCTGCTGGTGTGACCTTGGGTCAGTCATGGCTCTCTCAGAGCTGTTCTCTCAAAAGCAGTCCTCCAAAGAGCTCTCTCAGCCTCGCCTACCTCACAGGGTGTCTGTTCTGGGGAGGGGAAGGGAAAGGAGATTGTAAGCCACTCTGAGACTCCTTTGGGTAGTGAAGGGCAGGGTACAAATCCAATCTCCTCTTCTTCTTATGTGTTCCTGCTGCTTGGGGGGGGGTCTGTTCCTCACATATTTTTCTCCCTCTAGTGGTCAATTTGATATTACAATGCTTTCTGCCTGGCCTTAAAACCTGCAGTTTAAAATCTGCAAGGAGATATGTCAGACATAACACACTGTAACAGAGAACCAACCACTAGAGGGAGCAAAACATGTGCGGAACAGACAACCCCCCCCCCAAAGCAACAGGAACACACAACCAAGGGAACTGAGAATGCGGAAAAGCCCACAATGAACAAAAACATGAGAAGGGCCCTGCTGGATCGGACCAGTTGTCCCTCAAGTCCAACATCCTGTTGCACACAGCGGCCAAGAAATCTGAAGGCAAACAAACAGGGCAAGGGAGCAAGGCTTTACCCCTGATGTTGGTTTAGACCATGCTGATCTCTAATGGCTGCTGGTGCATCCTTCCCTGCTCTAGATTTGTTCACTGGGAGAAACAACCCAGTCCTTGAAGCGGGCTGCAGGTGCATGGGCCACAGAAGGGGGTCCCATTTTCTGGAACTATGAAAAAATCTAGAAAAATATGTTTCCCCTGCTTTGTAAAATGTGTATATGAAAATATCACCTATACTCCTTTCCAGTGGCTGATATAGATGGTGTATCCTTCCCCCCGCCCCTGGATTTGCTTACTAGAGGAAACAGACCAGTCCTTGATGCAGACTGCATGTACACGGGTCACAGAAGGACACGAACAGAGGAAAAATTGAGGTTGGGGGGGGGGTGCATTTTCTGGAACCACAGAAAATTCTAGAAAAATCTGTTTCCCCTGCTTTGCAAAATATGCATGCAAAAAAATGTTTTTACCCATACTCCTTTCCTGTCTCATGGAAAACTAGCCTACAGGTGAGAATTGAAGGATACCCTGGAATTACAGCTCATCTCCAGATTACAGAAATCAGCTCCCCTGGAGAAAATGGATACTCTGGAGGCTGGACTCTATAGTTTTGTAATCCACTGAGGTCATCCCCAAGCTCCATCCCCAAAACTTTGGGAGTTTCCCAACCTGGATCTGGCAACCCTATCCTCCCAACCCCCAAATACTTGGCAACCCTGTGGAAAACATTCTGACTGTTTTTCTCAAATCAAACTTTTCTTCAGGACAGTTAATTCCACACCTAGCTAGTCAGCCATATGGAGAAGAAACTGGACCCTATAAAATACACACCCGCCCAGTTTCACTGACAAGAGTAGCAAGTAGCCTCTGATAAAACTTTTTTAGCATTTGGCTTGAGCTGCTCCCAATTAGCTCAAATGCTGATTTATGCAACCATGTCCTTGCCAAGACTGAAATAAATGTACAGCTTAAGAATGTCAGCACTTGGGGGGGGGGGGAACACTCAGAAACAGAATTTCCCTTCACGGACTGGCACCGGCTCTCTCCAAAACTCCTTCCTTTATCATCCTGTCCAAAAGTGATATTTAAAGGCAGAAAAAACCCCTTCTTTTATCTATAAGAAGCCTTAAAGAACACACACCGAAATGTAGAATTTATGAGAGTACACAAAGGCAATTCAAAGCAAGGAATGAAGCTGTGTGAGACTGGCTTGGCCAACAGAGATGTCCGCTCCGTGACACTCAATCCCAGGAGTCCTAGCTCCAATCAACAGAAATTCCCTGCTGTATTAATTCTGCAGTATTTTTAGATTCTGATGAGCTCCTGGGGCAAATACATACAGAACCCCCCACTGAGATCAATACACAAGAGGGAAGGACAGAAAAGGAGTCAGTGAGAAAGCATGCAAGGCACTCCCTACCTCCTAGCCATGGTTTGGAAATCCAGCAGCGTTAGGCCTGCAGTGAGCCTTAGGACTAATCAAATTCTTTAGACAAAATTGACTGTAACAATTACTAAATGCTAAGCACATGTGATCTTGTCCTGTTCTAATCTCAACATCTGTTCTCAACCATGTATTGGGTTTCTGTAGCGAATGGAAACACTTAGCAGGAAGATTTCATTTCAATCCGGCTGAGGCCCTCTGGCCCGCAGAAGAACAACCTGACTTATAGTACAGCATGATCCTAAGCCGTTACCACCAAATCTACCAAATTCAATGGGCTAAAATTACAGTAACTCTGCACAGGATCCTCCTGTCAATGGCCTGCATCTTCCCCCACACCTGCCTCTGAAGTCAAACATTCCCATAAGGAATTGAGATTAAAGCCTCAGGGAAGGTGGGAACTGAGAGGATGAGGGACCATTGCTTGCCTATCCTACTAAAACGAGGCTAGCTGAGAAATAACTGTGGCGGAAGAAAGCGATGTCAAGTCGCAGCCAACTTATGATTACCACCTAGGGGTTTCAAGGCGAGAGACAAACAGAGGTGGTTTGCCATTGCCTGCCTCTGCATCACAACCCTGAACTTCCTTGGTGGTCTCCCATCCAATTACTAACCAGGGCCGACCCTGCTTGGCTTCCGAGATTGTATGAGACTGGGCTACCCTGGGTCATTCAGATCAGGGTGAGAAATAAGTACAGGGACCTAAAGAAATCCCAGCAGCTGTGGACCAAAAGCAATGATATCACAAAGGTGTGATACTGCTATCTCTATTTATTTAAAGTAGTTTATGCCCCGCCTCTCCAAGTGCCCGTACAAAGTGAGTTATCTAACTCCATGATAGAACATGGCTACCATAAAATAAACCTGCTGCCCCCACTTCTTTGTGGACTAATTTCATGGAAGATTAAGGTACTTGACTGCTGCAAACCCATCATCTTATGAAAATGGACAGCTGCCAATGGCACTAACTAGCATAAGCGATCTTCTTATTAGCTGAACCTCCCAGGCCAGATTCTATAGTCAGCTGCTCTCTCCGAGGACTCAGTTCTCACAGGTTTACATCTGTTTCTTGGCAAAGAAAATCGTGACTAAATGCCAGCCAACCAAGTTATGCATTCTCTTGCTTCATACTGTACATTCTTCCCTGAAATGGCTTCAGTCTTTGGGGAACAGGATAACATCCCTGCCAAAACTTTGCATGGCTTCTGCCTTGATGGTTTTCACTGTTCCCTTTCCAGTTTCCCACAAAACTCACTGATGTAAGAGAACTTTGCATATAACTTGCCACTCGTTGACATCTGAGGCATTTGCCTTCTTGGATAATAAGTCTATGGAAAGTTCGTGTCAAAAATGGCACCTGGGTTTTGGCCACTGTGTGACACCGAGTGTTAGACTGGATGGGCCATTGGCCTGATCCAACATGGCTTTTCTTATGTTCTTATCAAAGGCCTTTTTTCACAAATGTTTAATATAGGTCCCGGACAAACGCAGAATTAGCCGCACAACAGGGACGAATGCCAGGCGGATTTTTTACGAAAACATCTGGCAAGTGTCCCGCACCCGTCAGCAACCCATATCACCCTGCCAAAGATGGGGAGTAAAAAGATACCTGGGAAAGTGCACTAGTTTCCGGAAAACGCGCAGCGCGGGTGCGGGTGTCTGACTGCGGAAGCGCTGGTATCCCATCGCATCCAGCGCCCATCTGCATCCCACCGGATTTTTTTTACACCACCGTGGTATGCACACAAACGCGGAACTGTGCATGCGCACAAACGCATTACTGTTGAACCGCCTCGCCCTTCTTTGCCATGCTTCATCATCAATGTGTGATCCGCGGCTGATGGCCTGAGCACGGAACCTCAGGGGTGCGTCTGATCGTGA